ATCACATGGATAATTTTGAAGAAGTCCCTTGCACTTGGAGTCATTGTAGACTTGGAAAAAAAAAAGAGAAGAAGTCCAAAAGGACTTAGGAAAGGCTGCCACACAGGCAGCTTACTCTTCAAGCACGGATGGCGTGTGTCGCCTCGCGGGTCTTGTTTGCGTGCGTGCTGGATGCTGGGCATGCGCCTGGTCTGCTGTGCACATGCGGATGGGGTGTGCATGCCAGCTGCTGTCTGTGCGCATGCTCGCGCACGCGGTAACGTGCGGGGCTGCCTGTCCGCACATGCTCGAGTGCTGTGCATGCAGTTGGCCAGACGCGTGCCTGTGTGCGCACTGTGTGGTGTGCGGGCGCTGTTGCTTGCACGTCACGCGTGAAGTGCCCACATGTGTGGGTACCACTGCCCACACATGTGAAGGGCCACACACATGTACCCAATGGGTATCCGCACCCAAATCATGTTCTGAGCTTCCTTTTGGGCCGGGATCTGTGGGCCGAGTTTTTCTTTGGTCGTGAAGTCCAATAACTTTATCATTTTCCAATTTTTCTGATTCCACCTCTTCTTAGGCCGAGATCTAGATTCATTTATTCATGATTCACAACCTTGTACATGTACCTGGGTGGATTCAACTTGACTACTTTTTGTTCGGAAACACTTTTGAGTAAGTCCAGGAAACACACTGTTGTTTGACCTTTTCCACTCTTCGTTGGCCACAGGAACCTCCTTTTTATCACTAGATTTTTCCTCAAGTATTATCACATCAAACTTGATGCGCAATGAAATAGGAGAGAACTTTCTCTTGTATGGAGTCGCAAAGGAGATTAAGGACGCTGCAAGGGAGACCTATTCAAGTAGTGAAAGCACTTCATAATTGTTTTAGATTGAGTCTATCCTGTATAATCATTGAAGCAAGAGAGGTGGAATTGCATTACCAAATGTTTCTAAAATTTTGTCAACAGACAAATTCATTTCTCAGTAGTGATCTTAAATGTGAGTTGATGAATAATTAGTTTATATTAAAAATATACTTGATTGGTGACTTCGTAGATTGATATTCCAGTTACCCCTTCAAGTGAGGTTCCATCAAGATTTTACCCTTTTTAATGCTAAAGCAGCAAGGATAAACAAAAAAGAAAAACTAAGATTGTGCTCATTTTCACTTTAGAGTGTTAGTATCTGATAGTAAGATTCTCTATTGTCAATCTGCACATTACTTTTGGGTAATTAATGGTGGGAATTACATATTTCTTTTGTTCTTTCGTATATTATATAGTTCTTGATAAGTTATTTCCTCCTTAGGGAAGTTGAAGGCCATTTCCCAAAGGATGCAGGATAAATTGCACTCAATTGCTTCTGTGAGTGTTCCAGATAAGTCAAATGCCACAAGATTTTGGACAGACAGGAATGATAGTTCTCAGGTGAATATTATTTCCCTGAATACAGAAAATTTCAAAATGGATGCTCAGTTAGGATATGTATGGATTTCATCATTTACATATCTCTTTTTCTGGAAAAAGGTGTAACTTATTGATTTCTTTCCAGCAAGATATCCTATTAATTTGTAGTTATGCTAATTCTTCTTCTAAATGATGTATACATCCGTTGGTTGATTCATAGTTTTTCTTCCGTCTGGATGTCTTTCTGAAGTTGAGGCTGAAGCAACAAATATTGGCGTCCAGCATAGTGCTTAATTAAATTGTATGCCTGTGAGTTATTTTGGTGAGCAATTAGTGACACTTGTTTCATCTGAATATCAATATGAGAGCATCCTTCTTTTCTTGGGACTCAAAATTTGTAAAGGATAACACCAAAGAGCAAAAAAGGATCTTCTGGAAACAAAGATTACAAGACAACAAAGATTTTTCTTATGCACTTCCTGGTTACTTTGAACAATTTCTCTGAAATGATTAAAATAATCAGTACTTCCTATCATGAGAGCTACTAGATAATCTCAAATTTTTGTGAGAGCTACTACGTAATCTCAAATTGTGAGATGTCACAGGGAAATTTTGTTGTCTCCTTTTTAGAGGGATTTATGAGCTTTAAAGCATCCTGTAATTGCCTCTGGCATTCCCTTCTTTACTCTTACAAATATGATTCCACACCAGATGCCCCACTTTATTTCCCGAGCTTAACAGTTGACATATAACACCTTTCTCAGCATGAGGCCACTGTTCATGCCCCTTTTAGCTAATTTTGATAACCCAGTCAGCAAAACTGTACTAATAGAAGTACGAGCAAGATGCCACTTTGAAAAGGAGAACTATTAAAATAAAGTAGACCTGCATTCTTGACATGGAGATTTTTTTTTGTCATGCCGAAAATTCAAATAATAAAGGTCCAATTTCATTAAATCATTGATGGAGCTGGTGCGCAATGAATGTAACAGGAGACTACAAAGTCAAATAGGATGGATGAGGAAAATTCAAGAGCTACATTTAAGATAGACTTAGGATGTCTAGAAAAAGCACATAGAGCCAATAGCATATCATTCATTAGGATTCTTTGAATTGCTTGCTGTGACACAGATTCCAGTCATTACAAAATCTACAGCATGCTACTTGAAATTTGTACGTTCATCAGAACTCTTTTGACTTGCATTGTGGAGTGGAACCTTCAACCCCTGATTAAAGGACAGAAAGTATTATAATTTGTTTGATACATTTACAATTTTCGTTTCTCTATCAGGTGCTAGATTGTAAAACTTTTTCCTGCTGTAGAAGATACCCATGAACTTCAGCTGGTGTGTTCAATTGAAATTATGCTGTTGGTAGTTATACTTTTGCTGTTATTCTGTAGAATTCGTTGGATTTGCAGGATCATCGAGCCGTTACGTCATTGTATTTGCTTCTCAGACTGACACAACTAAATGTTGTCAATACATTGGGAAAGCTGATCCAAGGCTCACTTCCCCATTTGTTCCCATATTATAAGGCTACCAGCTTGTCTTTTGCTTGTACATCTAATTCCTTGAATAAACCTATGCCTCTTAAGTTGGATGTATCCTTTCCTTCATTTCAAGATATCAGTTGGAACCTTTCACGTTTACTCTATCTGTTCAACGTTCAACTTGAAAAGAATGTTGCCACGTAAGTGACATCTTTTAAGTTTTTTTCATTTGGTGCATAAGCCTGTGCTTTTTCTATTAAGTTATCCAAGCATTGAATGGATAATGCTGTTTTTTCTCTCTCATCCTATACACACACACACACATATATGAAGCGGACTGGCCCTAAGACAATAAATTACCGGAGCATTGTTACCTAATCAAAACAGCATGTCTCATTTTTAATTATCTTGTGACATGTAATGGAATGAAGGCCTCTTTTGCTAAGTTTAAAAGGCTTCCTGTTACTTTTTTCATTGTCTTTGAGGTTTCCCATTCAATCTCAGGAGCCATCATGATTTAAAATTAAGGTTAATTACTGCACTTTTTTTACTGGAAAGTGCAGTATAGTTTTATGGAAAGCTCTAGTGTTCACATAAGATAAGAGAACTTGGTGCTCTTAAAGAACGAGAATATCAGAGATTTATGGTAGTCATTTATTATTGAAGGGCAGTATTTGTTGTCCTGTGGAATAACCTAGAAAACAGGAAAAAGCTGTTTGAATGATTAGTATTCAAGTGTTTCTAGATGGAATAGGTTTGGTAGCAAAGCATATTTTTTACAATTAAGGCTTTCTTATCTTATGTGAACACTAGAGCTTCTACTTAGAGCCTCAAAATAGAGGTGTAGTTTTATGGATTTGATATTTGTTTCTGTAGATATCTAAATCCAAAGGCTATTTTTATGGAAGTCTCTCAATTTTCTTTTGGTTGAATTGTTCTTTGCTGCATGCTCATGTGCTATTCAGTATTTCTCAGGTGTATATTTTTCATCTTTCTGATGAATTCATCTTCTATAACTTGTTTAGGTTTCTTGTTGTGCTTCTTCTATCCTGCTTCTCCTTTGTAATCATTGGTGGTTTCCTGTTTTTCAAGTTCAGGTAACCTTAAAATTTATATTCTTTGAGATAACCTTGATGTAGCCTTTTGTTACAGCAAGCTTACTGCAAATGGCTGTTCTGCCTTGTAACCTTTTATTTTATTTTACTATCTGGCTGTAACTCTATTTCTGAAATCTTGTCAAGGGAATAAAATTGTGGGTTCTCTCTCTCTCTCTCTCTCTCTCTCTCTCTCTCTCTCTTTTGGCTCTCTTCCTTAGTTTTATGATAATTGGAGGGGAAGAAGAAAAGAATTTGAGATATATCAACTCTA